GTTCAGCATCAGGCATCTTCCTCCATAGTTTCCACCTTATTTTTGAGACAGGCTCTCTCGCTGAGCCTGGACCTCATTAATTGGGTAGGCTAGCTGGCCAGTGAGCGCCAGGCTTCCCCCAGTTTCTGCCTTCCCAATGCTGAGATTACAGACATATACCACTGATCTGGCCTTTAAAGTGTGTTCTGGGGGCCCAAACTCAAGTCCTCATGCTTGCTCAGCAAGCACTTTTACCTACTGAACCATCTTCCACACACCCCCAAAATTGTTATTTACAGAGAGAAGGTGAGGGAACCAAGACGTTCTGTGAAACGGGCTGTCAAAGTGGGAAGGACAGTTTCTCTAGAAGAGACATGGAAAGCCTTGAGGAGAAAGCTGGAGACTGAGTCAGGCTTGGCAGATGTCTACAGAAAGCAGACCAGGGCTCTAGGTGGTCGGGTCACCCCGCTTGGGACACAGTGACCCCCAGGGCCAGGAAGGCAGGGTGAGTAGCAGGAAACAGATTCCCCCCAGCAGCAGGATCAGGCCGGCACCCACGCCACAGCCCAGGGACCAGGAATACTCATTGGTCAAGTGTGGCGTGGAGCTGGGGGCGTCTCAGGGCTGGCTCCCTGAAGCAGGGCTCTAACGGAATGCCGGAATACCTCCAGGCTGACGAAGAGCAGCACGCCTGTGGGGGGGACAACAGAGTGAGACTCGGGCTTGGAGAGATGGATCAGTGGTTAGGAGCACCAACTGGTTTCCCAGAGGATCTGGGTTCAATTCCCAGCACCCATGTAGTAGTTCACAACCACCTTTAACTCCAAGATCACCCTTAAACAGACATACATGCAGGCAAAATGCACACAGATAGATAGATAATAGATAGATGGATGGACAGACAGACAGACAGACAGATAAAATAAACAGATAGATAAAAATAGAGAGTGAGACTCTTGATCCTGAGACTCCAGTTTGGGTTTGAGATTGCTACACTTTCATTCCTTTATCAACCCCTTTTATCATCCAACGATCTTCTTATGCTTTCCCCCCAGTCATTCAACAGCCATCTTCATTCCACCAATGGGGGACAGGAAATACTACATCTGTGTAACGTGAGATTCTGGCCCGGCAGGTCCCGTGGCCCTTGAGCGCCAAATGAATACTCAGAGACTTATATTAATTATAATACTGTAGGCCAATGGGTTGGGCTTCTTATTGGCTAGCTCTGTCTTAACTATTAGCCAACAAGTACTAATCTATGTATTTCTACACGGTCCTGGCTTGCCGGAGAATGCCTGACTCTCGTCCTCTCTTCCCGGGGCTCACATGATGACCCCTTTCTGCCTGCACCTCCCAGAATTCTCTTTATCTGGTTTCCCCACCTGTCCCTCCTGCCTGGCCGCTAACCACACAGTGTTTTATTCATCAACCAATAAGAGAAATACATCTCCCATCACATCTGTGTTTAACCTGCAAACGTGTTCTAGCCCACGCCTCCATACGTGTGTGTGTGTGTGTGTGTGTGTGTGTGTGTGTGTGTGTGCGTGCGCGCGCGTGCCACAGGCCAGAGGTCAATGCAAGGTGCTTGCCTTTCTCAATTACTTCCCACTTTATTTTCGAGGCATTGGGGATTGAACCCTGGGCCTTGCTAGGTAAGTGCCCCGCTTACAAAGCTACACCCCTAGCTCCCACTTTATTTTTAAAATGTCTTTAAATTACATTTCGGTGAGTGTATGTGTGCACCAGGGCACATATGTGGGGGTCGGAGAACAACTCGTGGGGATCAATTTTCTCCCTCCACCGTGTAGGACTTGGGGAGTGAACTCAGGCTATCAGGCTTACTGTCAGGTTCCTATGCCTGCTGAGCACCTTGCAGGCCCCACACATTTTTTTTTAAGATGGGGCCTCTCATTGGCCCAGTGCTCGCTAATTTGGCTAGACTTACTGGCCAGCAAGCCCTCCTGTCTCTGCCACCCTGCTGGGATTGTAGACTTGCAAAGTATAGAGTATAAAAGCTGCCTTGCTTTTAATGGGTTCTGGGGATTAAGGTCGGGTTGCTGTGCTTGCAACAGCAAGCACTGTATTGACTGAGACATTTCACAAGCTTCCTACTTCTTGATTTTGAGACAAGGTCTCCTCTAGCCCTAGCTGTCCCTGAACTCACTATGCATACCAGGCTGGCTCTGAAATTGCAGAAATCATCTTCCATTTGTCTAAATAGTAGGATTACAGGCATTTTCCACTATGCCTGGCTTAACCACTTTTATTTGGGTTGGGGGTAGAGGTTGAGAAGGATCTGTCTATGTAGTTCTGGCTGTCCTGGAGCTCGCTATGTAGATCAGGTTGGCTTGAAACTCACAGAAATCCTCCTGCCTCTGCCTCCTAAGTGCTGGGATTACAGGCATGTGCCACCACACTTGGCAAGCATCTGTGTGGGCATGGGTAATTTGCCTGCATTTTTGTCTATGTACTATGTGCACACAATGCCAGCTGAGACATCGGATCCCCTGGGACTGGAGTTATTGAATTGAACCTGAGTCCTCTGGAAAAGCTGCCAGTGATCTTAACCACAGAGATATCAACCCAGCTGCAATCATTGTTGTTTTTAAACGAATTGTTTGTTTCTTGGCTTACGATGGAGTCTTGCTATGTAACTCAGACTGCTGTCTAACTCACAATTCTCTTGCCTTAGCCTCCTGAGTGTTAGGATTATAGGTATATACCACAATACCTAGCTAGTTGTTTGTGGGTTTTTCTCCAATCTTTTGAAATCAGAGAAATCCTTAGACACTCCTGCCAAATGAAGAACACAAATTAGACACCACTTACTAATGGTTGCCATATTGTACCTTCTGAAACAAATATAGGAGGAGGAAGGAGAAAAAAAACTAAGGGTGCGTTTGTGCAAGTGTGCATGCCTCTGTGGTGTGTGTGTGTATGTGTGTGTGTGTGTGTGTGTGTGTGTGTGTGTGTGTATACTATGTGAGTCCATCTCTAAGGGAAGTCAGAGCAGGAACTTGGAGACAGGAACCGAAGCAGAGGCCATGGAAAGTGCTGCTTACTGGCTTGCTACGTTTGGTTTGCTCAGCCTGCTTTTTTATATCACCCAGGAATACTGATTTCCATAGCAGCTGCATTTTAAACTCTCTTCAACAGTGAACATCATTTCCCCACATCATTGCCAGCATTTTTTTAAACTATCCATGACGAGCCTGGAGTTTATTATGTAGCCCAGGCTGACCTTAAATTTGTGGCAATCCTGAGTACTGGGAATAGGCATGCAAAATCATTCCTGACTCCCTCTACTTTAAAAGAATGGAGGTGCTGAAGAGATGGCTCAGTGGTTAAGAGCAACTGGTGTTCTTCCATGGCCCCCAAGTGTGGTTTCCAGCACTTATGTTACACTGATCATAGGGGTTCCTAACTGCAATTTGAGAGGATCATTTGCCCTCTTCTGGCCTCTATGGGTTTGAGGCCAACCTGGTCTACAGAGTGAGTTCCAGGACAGCCAAGGCTACACAGAGAACCCCTGTCTTGAAAAACCAGTAAATAAATAAATCCTAACTAGGATAACATATGTCACTGATACCATCATCGCTAATGATGCAATGACACCATCACAGCCACCACATAAACTTTAACATCGACCATCATCATCTCCAGAGTCACCACCCCCATCATCACAACCTATTGCCGCCATGATCACCCCACCGTGATTACCAACACCTCTCTCGTCACTTTTACTGTCATCACTACCATCTCTGTCACCATCATGACCACCTACCACCATCATCACCATCAATCTCATCACAATCACCATCATCACCACCTGCCACACCCACTCCCAGTGGAGTCTGTGTGACACGAGGCAAGTATTGCTAAAAACATGTCCAGACCTGAGGCGTGTGCTTTCGTAGCTTGGTCTCCTGGAGGTCACTGGCAGGATCCCATAAAGGACAAGATGTTCTCTTGTGTCTCGCCATCTGGGGTGGGTTGTTTTCTGCCTTGGTCAATAGTCTTATGACTGGTCTGGCTTTGTCAGCATCCGCAGATGATCAGGTGTTGGTTGAAGAAAGATTGAGTACCTCTGGATATTTTGGTTCTAGGAACCGAAAGCAACTCACTAGCAATTTTTGGATAAAATGCTATCATTGAAGTTTCCTTTGTACCCGTGGTCCAAACGGAGCAGTTTCTTGCTAGGATGGCTCAGGATATGAGTAGTTTTACTAGTAGTGCCCCCCGTTAGTTAGAACTTTATTAGAGATGTTTTAGACAGAAGATAAAGGCTTTAGATCAGTTATGAATTCGGTCCAGCAAGCAGAATTGTCTTACCAGATATCTAGGAAGAATAGAAGAATAGCTCAAGAAGGAGATGATTCAGAAAGCTTAGGGGAACTTAGAATTCCTATAAAGGGTAGAGTTAGGCAGAACTTACTATAAGATTTATGGGAAGTGGTGGCAGCCCCTAAAGGAACAAAGGTCCATATTTTTATTAAGACAGTAGCTACATCTTTGCCATACACAAGAGCTTACGATAAAGACTTTAATCACTGAGTTGTCATTGGGGGTAAAAAGAGATTGTCTATATTATTGAGCTGATGGGAGAGACTAAATAGAGCAAGACCACCTTGATGTGTCATGTCTGTAGCTGACAAAGGAGAGATTTTGTGGCAAATGTATAGATATTTGCATATTTGCATTATCAATCAGAAGTTTTGTATGGAGACATACAGGGGATAAAAAAAAAAAGGATTTTATTGGTTGCTTTATGAGATTTGTAGACTGGCCTAAAGAATCTTAAAGTTCAGCAAGATCACATTTTCAGAGTCATAGTCAGCTCAGCAACTTGACCACTGTCTGGGACCGAGATAATTTTGACTAAAACTGCTTCCTGTTTTGTGCTTTCGGTTTAACGCTTACTTAGAGCTAATAATATCTATGATACACATTTTTTGTACTCAGGCCAAAGCTGAAGTTCCTGTATTTCTTGTATAGAAGTAAAGGTCTTTGCAGCAGCATCAAACCTCTCGTGTTTGTGTCTGTCCGTCACGCCAAATCCATCCCAACCTGAGTACCAAGACCCTGATTCTCCCGCAGTGTGGTTCTCTCCCTGAGTGGTCTGCGGCAACTACCTGTCACCATCATCACCATCAATCCATCATAATCACCATCATCACCACCATCATTGTCAGCACTGACACCGTCAGTATCTCTGACGTCACCTATTGTCACTTCAACTGTCAATGCCACCCTTTGGAGAACTCCTATTATCCTTTGGCCATCAGTTTGAATGTCACTCTCTTGGGGAGTTTCTTTGACTGCCATCCCATGGCAGTGGAGCATTAATATCCATTCCCATCACAATAGTGGCTGAATTGTTATATGCATAATTATTAGTCATTATCAGACAGAACGAAGAGCACTCGATAGCAGACATGGTGTCTTATTTGATTCAGACTTGTATCTGCCGAATCTCCTAGAAAATAGCAAGTGCTCACAAGCAGACAAAGAACAAAGAAACGAATTTGTGTGATTAATAATTTTTCTAATCATTGCATCTGGCTCAACACGGAAGCTCTGGATGACAGAAGGAATTTGGCAATGGCACACCATGATTCAGAGCACAGCTAGCACCCTTGGTAAGGCAAAAAAACAAAAACAAAACAAAAAAACAAAAAAACAAACAAACAAAAAAAAACCATGGTCTCCAGTTAGGTATCCATTCTACATATCAGCTCTAAGCCTACAGAGACTCTCAAGCCCCAAAATTCAATGATGCAGTTCAGTGAAGAAGAGGCCAAGAACATCAAGCCTTGCTTGATGGGTGGCTACCTGCACAAGACCTGCACAAGACCGGACCATCACCAATCCATTATGGAAGTGGAAATACAGGTAATTAAAGGGGAGATATATTTCTTAGTGGTGTTATAGCCACTAATAAGTTGACTTTGGTCAAGTAAATAACCTTCTACCCATGCAGGCAATCCTAATTAAATGCAATGGGGAACCAAAAAAAGCCACAAAAGTTTAAGGGACTTGGAAACAAGGGGGTTGGCAGGAGAAGGACAAGGAAGGATGCATGGGGTTGGGAAGTGAACAAGGTATTACACACCATACAGATGTGTTTGTGTGCTAGCTGTGCTCTGAATCATGTATGCGTGAAAACTGTGAACAGATTTTTAAGTCCCACCTCTGCCATTAGTGGTTGTGTGGCTACAGGAAGCCACTTGACTTTTCCAAAGTTCAGTGTTCTTATCGACAAAGTGAAGGCTAGTAATCTTTGGGACTGAAGACGTGTCTTGGTGATTAAGAACACTTGCTGCTCATACAGAGGACCCAGGTTGGGTTCCCAGCACCCACAGGCAACCCACAGCCATCTGTAACTCCAGTTCCAGGGAATCCAATACTCTTCTCTGGACTCCTCAGGGGCCAGGCACACATTTGGTGAACAGACATGCATGAAGACAAGCATTCAGACAGATCAAATAAAAATGAGTAAATATTAGCAACCTTTAACTAGTCCACTTGCTGTAAAGCTTTGAGGCTTAGGTGGATTAAACTGAAGTCTTTTGTTATTACTGGGGTATGCATTTCACAAGATGTAGCATCTTTTTTTCTGAATATCTACCTACAAGAATACAACACATGAGGCTGGAGAGATGGTTTGGTGGTTAACAGAGCTGGCTGCTGTTCCAAGGGTCCTGAGATCAATTCCCGGCACCCACATGGTGGTTCATAACCATCTGTAATGGGATCTGATTGCCTCTTCTGATACGCATGAAGACAGAGCATTCATACACATAAATACAAGATAGATAGATAGATGATAGATAGATGATAGATAGATAGATCTTAAGAGAAAAAAAAAAAAAACAGTACATCACAGTCCATGCAGACTGCAAGCCCCAAACTCAAAGACTGTTTGGAAACCTTCCTCATGGCTTGAAACGCTCTCATCTTCAGACTTATTCAAGCCTCGAGCTTCTTTGACCTCTGAGAATGCAATATTCCTCAGAGATCCACCTCTACTTCCAAGTACACAACACAGTGCTGAAGATTCCAGGCCAAATCCAAAAGAGTGCTCGGAGAGAATTCAATTTGCCATGCAACAACAGGGTTTAGAATGCTCTTAGCTGTTGGATTCTACATGAATTCACTCCAACTCCTGGTGTGCAACAGTGCCTGGAGATCAGCCCCTCCCCCTTCACATCAAACAAGCATTGGAGACCCCATGTCCAAACCTAAAATGGTATTTGGAGACATTCCACTCCTTTGCTGACAACAACATTTGAAATTCTCCCATCTTTGAGCCTACTACAGCCCTTGGACAGACCCCTCCTCTACTCCCAGCATGGAGGAGTAAGTGGAGATTCCATTTTCATTGTACAGAGATTCTTAGCGCTTGTAGCTCCAAATGTACAAGAGCATTTAATTCTAAATAAACCTTCCCAGCAAGAGTCCTTGGAATGCTTCCATCTTTGAGCCCACTAGAGCTCTTGGGTTTCTTCTCACTCCCAGAATGCAGCTGTGTTGGAGAGTCTGCTTCCCAGCAAGCAACATTGTGTGGAGTTCCCACTGCTCAGTACTCAAATGTGTGAGTGGAAATGCTAACTTCCAGAATGCAACAGCTGGTAGAAAGCCAACCACCCAGCATGCAACAGTGTGTAGAGATCCACCTCCCAGCATGCAACAATGTGTAGAGATCCACCTCCCAGCATGCAACAGTGTATAGAGATCCACCTCCCAGCATGCAACAGCTGGTAGAAAGCCAACCACCCAGCATGCAACAGTGTGTAGAGATCCACCTCCCAGCATGCAACAATGTGTAGAGATCCACCTCCCAGCATGCAACAGTGTATAGAGATCCACCTCCCAGCATGCAACAGCTGGTAGAAAGCCAACCACCCAGCATGCAACAGTGTGTAGAGATCCACCTCCCAGCATGCAACAATGTGTAGAGATCCACCTCCCAGCATGCAACAGTGTATAGAGATCCACCTCCCAGCATGCAACAGCTGGTAGAAAGCCAACCACCCAGCATGCAACAGTGTGTTGAGACCTCACTTCCCGGCATGCAATGTCCTTGGCTTCCACACACTCAGCCCTCACCTGAGAGGCCAAAGCAGACAGCTCCCAAGCGGAGCAGGAATTCTGCACCTTTACTGAGTACCATGATGACACAGAGGCAGCCCAAGGCCATGGCTGTCAGGCTCTGCAGGGCTACCACAGCAGCTGCCAGGTTTACCTCTGCAAGGAGGGGCCAAGGAAGAGGCAGAGAGCATGGGAACCAGGGAGTAGACAGCACTCCTTCACAAGAAGCAGAGCCAGAAGGATGGAAGACTTCAAATCCATCCTGAGAGCGCATTACTGATACTGTTGAAAGAATGGAGACTCAGGGACGGGCATTGGTGGCGAATGCCTTTAATCCCAGCACTTAAGAAGCCAAGGCACATGGATCTCTGGGAGTTCAAGGCCAGCGAGTTCCCGGAGAGGCTCCAAAAGCTACACAGAGCAACCTTGTCTCGAGAAACCAAAAGAATGGAGACTTGGATGATTTAGGTTATAGAGCAAAAAAAAGGGGGACAAGGTCGTGTCATGGATACTAGAATGACCATCTGCAACTTATCCTTTGGTCATCACTGGGATAACAGATCATGCAGTGGGGGGAGCAGGAGATAGGGGACAGTGACAAAGCTGATTCACTAGCTTGCAAGCATCCAGGTTGTAATTTTCCCCAACTGCTCCCCTGCCGGAAAATTCTGTGTAAAGTCCTACACCCCTCTCAGTCTTTGGCTCTGGAAAATCAGGATTAGAAGTCACATTAAGTGCCCAGTGTGGTGCACCAAGTTATTCTACCACCTCAGAAATGCACAGT